AGAATGTGGGAGGATGTTGAAGATTTTTAAGTTGAATTTTCTCTCTTGCACAAATATTTTTGAGTAGTAGCGGGTTAGGTATATGTATTAAAAGGGCTTATATGAAAATGTATAAAAAAATGTTTGGGTAGAACTAAAATCGACAGTTCGGGTTCGAGTTTGAATTTAGTATTTACAAGGAACCGAATGATTCCATTTACGAAATACCCGAACTATAATCGGTGGTTTCAAATATTGAAATGCCTGAACCTTCTCACCCCGATGCTCAGGCCTACTAAAAGGTAACATTTTTTATTCGATCAAAATCAAAAATTAATTTTAACATGTTTACAATTACTACTTATTGATTAACCACATATTTCGTAGATACAATACTATTCTTTTTAAACATTTATTAATAATTTTACCCGAATACTCTGAACATGGCAAGTGCTAAAATGCACGTGTAAATGGAGTTTTCATTTCTCATGTTAAAATTAAGAATTTTGTTGGGTGTACAGAAATTGTACACCACATAAACATACCAGACCACACACAAGCAGTTGGGCCCTCCATTTTTTGCAATATTTAAATACACTGTGGGGCCCACTGTTTTAGTCTATTTTGGCCAATTTCCATTGCTTCTTCTTCTGTACAAATGGGAAAAACCTAAGATTAATAGGTTTTTTCAATGTCTAGCGTGGAGCTTCTCTCTCCAAACCTACTCTCTTTTCCAAGTCAAAAATGCTCGTGTTTAAATTGTTCAAAAATTTTAGTATTTAAATTTTTTAGGTCAACCAACGGATGTACCGGCGGTTTCCGTCATTTTGTTCTTCAGGTCAAAATTCTTCAAAGATTTAGGACTGCAAGTGATATAAAGTGAAAATTAAGATAAAGTCTACGAAAAAAGAAAGATTTGGGAATGCTACTGTTGACCTAAACTTTTTTACGCTTTCAAATAACACTAAGGGTCAGTTTGATTGCAAGAATGGAAAATAGGTGAAAAGAAAACAAATTTCAGGGAAAATAATTGACTAGAACTTGTTTTTCCAAGATTGTCAATTAATTGTGTTTAATTGATATAATTTTCCATCTAGAAAATGTTGAAATTTTGGATATTTTGGTATTCGTTTGACTTTATTTTTCATGAAAATTGTTCATTAAGGGACCGTTTGGTACCCATTTTC